TTTCCCTATAGATTTCCGCTTCAATCCTATGATTATCTACCCTCTGGTTGTGACTAACATAGCCATGGTATAGATGGCCCATGATGGCCCATGGAAATAGATGGTTTAACTATTTTAAAATGGTGATTTCCCATGGCTATGTTAAATAACCAGAGGGTAACATTATATAATTAAAAAGGTCTACTGTTTCTACTTGACATCCTTAAACTGGGGCCCGGCCCAAGAACTTGGAAGACCGCGACGACAGAGGATGTTTCAACTCAGACTTTCGCGGCCAAATTTGATGAGACCTGGGGGTATTAAGTATTGATACACCCTGGTTCTACAAGGTGGTGCCCTCCAGTGATGTGAACGTTAGTTAATGAACCCCCATGAAAAGTATAGTTATATCTATCATAAACATCCATAAACCATAGTGAAATTGGAGTTATGTTCACCAACTTAGCCAACTATGGGGAAAATATGAGACCTTTGCTGAAGAATATCCAAAATGACTAGAAGGCAAGACTTAATTCCTATAGTTTGACCACACAGAACACGTGTTTTTACACCATAAACCATAGTTCTTGGACTTGTGTTCACCAACTTAGCGATTTCGCAAACCGGGGGCCCCACGTTTTGTAGGATGGTAGTTTGATGATGTTTCCCCATTATAAAAATTCCAGGTGTCCAGCAGCGGGTTGAACCGCCCGTTGTTCAGCTTTTCGGGAGGTCGATTCTGCACGGTCTGCGAGAAACCGGTCGCTGGAGCCGCCGCAGCTGTTTAATACAACGGGGACAACGATGATAAATGCGATCTATTTTATGGGATATAAGTTGATATAATGTTTTTTTTTTTTTTATCATCATGTCTGGGAATCTTATAATTATGATATATTTTTAACATCCCAATTATGATATATGATATAAGTTAATTAATATATATAATATACATATATATTGTTGATATGGATTTTTGTTTGATATTTTCAGTCGGGCTTGGGAGTGGGATTGGGATTAAGTCGATGATTTTTCTCGTTCATTTTCCCGGCAAATCCACTAAGAAATGGGAAAAAAACGATGATGGGACCATGTCATGTTTTGAGTTTTGGTTCCTTGAGCAAATCCAAGTGTTACTACAAGGAGGGCCCAAACCAGTTATGTTTGTTGGTTTAAAAAAAACATCTAGTCCTCTAGTTCGATACATCTACCATAAACCATAGTTAACCTAGCTATAAAACGCTATAAACCAACTTGGCTTTCTTTCTTTGGGTCACCCCACCTTCTAGCAACTGGCAAATTGATAAATTGTGCATGACCTGACCTTCCGACACCTTCCAGAACCGGGAGGTTGAACCCAGAATCTAATCATTCATTGGCCACAGGTATTGAGAAGCCGTTTGGAGCCAGGGATTATTGTCCTGAATTCGGAGCTAAAGAGCTGGTCCCCAAGATAGATAGCGTTCAGTTGCCTGAAAAAAGTGGCTGAATTAACTCTGGTTTACGGTAGATATAACGAACTATAGTATTCATGGGGCGAATCTAATCCAACTTATAACTGGGGGGCACTATCCTGTAGAGTGATTGACCCACATATTTTCACCACACACATCTCTTTTTCACATTTACTGATGGCTCCAATTGCCGAATTGCCGAATTGGTACATTTGCCAAATGGCCATACTGATAGACACGATGCCAAATGGTTTCTACCCTCTGCTAACTTAAGTAAGCTATGGAAAATTGCCCATCTGTAGAGGATTTATTTGGCGATTTTTCGTTGCCATGTCAAATTACCAGAGCGTAAACCACACATTGTCATTTGGGTTTGAAAATAACATCAACATCCCATTGTGTAGTACCTCATTTCCCCTAATTCAAATGCCCATCAATTGAAGGGTAAATCCCCCATTTTCAGGCACACCCAGTTTGGATACATTATATATCAAATTATATCACCACTTAAAACGGCTGTGATACCCACCAGCATCGTTTTCAACGATATTTCAAACCCAAACATCGCCATTTTGACCGCAGATATCATTGTGAAACAGTGCCTTTCTACGCTCCGACCATCAGTTGTGGCTTGCTGGAAAAAGCCACCATGGAACAATTGGGGGATGTTCCAGCTGGCCATGTTTGATGACATCCTATGAAGTCCCATCGAATCCCATTAAATCCAATTAAGTCCAATTTTAAATAGATGATTTTTATAGTTTTTTATATTCAAAGCTCCATTTTGAGCGGATTTTCCATTTTTTCCATTGCCACGACATGTGATCAGCCGCTAGCGCACTTTTCAGGAGCCAAGTTTCAGCCCCGCCACCAACCGGGTGCCCGAGCGGATGAGGAGCAGGGGAACCTACTGACCGTTGCTACAGGGAGTTGGCTACGGGTCTTCTGGGATGATCAAGAAGTGGTGGATCCTCAAGCTCGCTGGTTCATTTTTTTCATGGAAAATCCGTTTTTCAATAACATGGATGATTTTCCTGGGGGAAGTAGTCCCATGATGTCTGCTTGGTGGCGAACTACCCACGGCTCGTGGTTGTGGGTTAGTGAACTACCCAGTTTTTTGAGTGGATTAACCCGCTCCAAAAATCCCATGTCAAACACTGGGGTTATAACCCACTTACTAAGTGGGATGAGCCACCTCCATAGTCACCATAAACCCCAACAGTTTTGGTTCCTGAGATCCTCCAGCTGGGATACCATTTTTTCATGGAGCTTTAAGCATCAAGAACTAGGGATTTAATGGGATTTAATGGGATTTGATGGTGATTTAATGGGATTTCATGGGATATCATGGGATTCACTCTGATCTACGGCTATTTGTTGAGGATTTTTTCAAACACTTTTCGAGCTGGGAAATCCACCCTTTTTTTTAAATGGGCCCCTTGTGGGTGTCTTAGTGGGAAAATCACCCTCTGGTTATGACTAACATAGCCATGGTATAGATGGCCCATAGAAATAGATGATTTACATATTAATAGCATGGTGATTTTCCAGTTCGCCATGTTAAATAACCAGAGGGTATGTGTTTTTTTCTGTAAATGTGGAACTTACCATTGCCAAGTTTGATATTTGGGTTTTATTTTCAGCGTCCTGTTTGGATGGGAGGAATTCATCTTGTGGATCCTCATGAAAACAATCTGCAGGTGGTAAGAATTTTCGAAAAATCCGATTAAACCTCGACCAACTAATAATGAGATGTAACCAGCAAGAAAAAACACATTCCCTCTTGCAAAGAGACCTCGCCCACGTCAGAATATATTAAAAAAACACACACGCGATTTGTCATTGCCAACCGGCCCCTTCCGATACGCAAGAACAAGACAGAGATAGGATCATTGATTGGCTGTTAGGTCACGCTTGCACCACGAAGGGAAAGTTTCTTCATGCTTCGCACAAAAGTCCAAGAAGACACGATTTCAAGGATTTCAAGGCTGCATCGCTGCTGGTCCACCAAGACATTTTGGAAGCGGTCTGAAAAATTACAGAGAAAGAATTTGCTCCCCTCACTGGACCGCGGACACGACAGTTCTACAGGACACCAGCGGCAAACCATTTGGCATTGAAGCGACATGGAAGAACATCAAGGATCTTCGAGTTCAGCAAAAATCTTGAAGGACTACAAGCTCCAAAGGTAGAGGTGTGCAGCCTCAGCAGGTACCATAAGTTTTTGCAGTCTATTCTGATCAATTCTTTAGGATGGTTAGTAAGGATCAATGGCCACCTACTGACTAGCTATACGTCAACTGGGATCATGAAATCACATGAAATCAAGATTTATCAAGAACTAATGTCAATAGGATAACTTAAATTCCATGTTATGTTCACAGTCTGTTCATCCAAAACTATCCCATAAATGTGAAGATTGCGACCTTGAGCATCCAATACAACCCCCAACGTTGGACAGAATTTCCTAAAATAGTTGTATAAGCATAACCATTTCCTATTTATAAACGTTGTATAACCATTGGATCCTTTTCACCTTTCAGAAACTCTTCGTACTGTTATCCGCAGCCCCAAAAAGATGCCAAGTGTTGAAGTTTCCATGGTTACTTTGAGTTTCTTTTTTTCCCGTCTATTTTCCCATATAATATATATATATATAATATACACATACATATACACATGACATATACATCTATAAAAAGAATATATTCCAGCTTTCCACTTCTGAATCGACCCTGGTTCCGCCAAGCGCTCGTTCGCCCAGGTGCCAAAGCCTATCTGCAGCAGAGCGTCTTCCGCAGCCTCGGCCGAATTCTTCGTCGGGATTCGATGTGGAGAAATGTGATGAATTTCCAATGTGGAGAACTACGCCACGCCATATATTTTAATGGAGATGATGATCCAAGTTGACGGTTAAAAATGTATACTTGGAGATGATGATCCGTATATTTCCAATGGGGAGATTCTGAGATGATGGTTTAACACATGTTAAACTTAGTTTTTCCAGATCCAACCAACAGATATACACATTGTTGGGGATAAATGGTATACCATGGGGATATATCACAAGTCATCCATTTAAAACAATTCCATGGGGATACACATTGTTTCAAAAACTTGTGATATCCAACAGAGGCGTATGGTCCAAAGGTGGGATACTGGGTGTCCCCGGGATGGGATTCTGATGGTGATTGTTGTCAAACTATGGTGTGGAGCCGCTAAGCGCCTCTGGTAAACATACAAAAAACGACGGAAAATCATGGAAAATCACAATTTTTAATAGCTATATCAACATTATCAACTGTAAATTGCCATGGCTTCAAGTTCGCAAACTGTTAGTCATTACCAGAGAAATTGCCATGGCTTCAATACCAGAGGGTAAGTGGTGTAAAAATCATCGCAACCAAACTGGCTGCGACTTCGGAGCTGCGACGTCAAACGGAGCTGCTTCGGGACGAGCAGCTGGTTGTGATGTCTTCGTTGTTCGTTTTTTCCCATTCGGATTTGAAAGAATGGTCCAAAGAATGATCCACATGCTTTCCATTACCCATAGGATCCATGGTGCTGCTATACAAGGAGGGGCCACAAGTACAACACTGGCTCATGCTGCCGAATCAGGCCCTTTTTCTGTCCCCCACGAGTGTCTGCGGTGGGCCACAAACCTGAGCTGCAGAAATGGAAGCAACAAGGCGGAGAGATATATGCAGAAAGCACCGGCAGAAACAAAGGCAATGAAATGCAATCAGAGGCAGAGGGAAAGAAGTCATACCATCATCCTCCCCCATGCCCCTCTAAATCAATGTTGTTTTTCGCAAACTGGAGACTTGCTGGCATCCAAATATAGTACAGCGTCACTGCCGCGGATCCAGGTCCAATGAAACAATCAACTTTGATTTCGGGGCGAGGGGTTTTTATATGGGGCTGGGTACTTTCTATGTTGTCGGGAGAAACATGCAAAACGGATGGACCAGGGACATCGGCTCCTTTAACATTTAATTAGGTGCAGTCAGCACACAGCTAGACACTCGGGAATCCTGCAGCAAGAAATTTTGCTACATTTTTCCCTCCAGAGAGTATGAACATGGTGAAGCAACATGGACATGCCGGGATGTCCTTCAAATTTTCGATTCTATGCTGGAAACGGTAAATGGTCAGTCTGGACCGGAGCATCAGCAACTCACTCTCGGACCAGCACCCTTTCGGCACAAACAACGATTGCCAGTTACATGTGAGAAAAGTGGGTTGTGTCGGTCGAAAATCCAAATGGCCACTGTACAAGTTCAATGGCCGATTGATGCGTAGCATCGCACTTTCCAACCATAATAAGGTACTGCTGACATCCAAGGCTCCATGGTCAGGTCTCCAATCATCTAAAATGACCACTTGGGACTGCGGCAAATCTAAGAGAGGATACGACCCTCGAGCGGGACAGGCGAACACCTCGGCTGCTCTGAGGAGGGCACATCAACGTCTGGCCGTCCAAAAAGGGGGAGGCCAAGAACAAGGAAATAATGTCTACCATGTTAAGAATGCATGGCGAGAGTTGGGTATTGTTGGTCCCCATGGTTACAGGTTGATAGATCTCGATGGTACCAAGGCGTGAAAATCCCGTTACAAGAATCAATTCCCAGTTACTGGACTCGTCTCGGGCATAAACAAATATGTGCATAGTACTTGAGCCCCCCCGGGGGGGCAGAAACTTGTCCGCAAGTGGATCTTTTTAAAAAATATGATCATTGGGAAACGGGTGAGGGTCAGAAACCATGTGATGTGAAAGCGGTAGCCAAGGCACGCGCTCGAAAATTTCACGCAATGGCTTCAAAATGAAGCTTTTGCCCTCGTTTCCGGAACCTGTGAAGCATACTGCATCTCCCTTCTTCTGCATGCCCAGCATGAGGGCCTGACGCAAATGTTGGCAAAGCTTCCCCTCAGCAAGCAGCAACCACAAGCAAGCCAAGGGGCCGCTGCGTGTAGAGCTCGAGGTCGCTGTAGGCACCTGCACAGGGCGACAATGGCAGGAAAAGAAACGAGGGGAGAAACAGGGGACAGATACAAGAAGACAGGGGCAAAGACCACGAGGAGGACAAGACACAAACGAAAGAAACGCAGGCGCCCTAGCCACGGCCAGCCGCAAAACCCAATGCCAAATCTCATCTACTTGCAAACTTAGGAAGAAAATCTAGCCAACAAGTGCCAATATGATGTGAACCCTCCCTCAAGGTGATGGTGCTGAAGCCGATGGCCTCTGCCATAGCAACCCACATCCACCAAGCTGCCGCATCCACCACAGCCGCCGCATCCACGAGCAACCGCCACAGCCAGCAGCAGCCGCCACAGCCGCTGCATCCACGAGCAGCCGCCATAGCCAGCAGCAGGCGCCACAGCCGCCACAGCCGCCACAGCCGCCAGCAGCCGAGCTGCCGCCACATCCGGCAATATGCTGAAAATTGTGTGCTGCGATGATATAAGGATGAGGCTCCGGGAGGTGAGTGTCAATTTGCGTGGTGCAATCCTAATGTAAATTGGAGCAATCAGGGTAAGGGGTAGCGAAATAAGGGTAAGACTTCCAGAGTGCAATCCCAATGTAAGTGAAGCAAATAAGGTTAAGGATTCGAAAAATACAGGGAAGACTTCCGGAGTGCAATCCTAATGGAATTGGAGCAAATAAGGTTAAGAACTTGGAAATTCACAATCAAAAGAATTAGATGATTCTATTCATTTTCTTATTTTGTGGACTTTCTTAACCTTATTTTGCTCCGTGCCTATAGGATTTCCCCAACAAGCTCCTAACAGTATTTTGAGATGTCTTAACCTTATTTGGCTCCGTGCCTATGGGATTTGCTCAACAAGCTCCTAACAGTATTTTGAAATGTTTTAACTTTATTTTGCTCCGTGTCTATAGGATTTGGCTCCAAAATCTGTTCTCCACACCAAGGGTAAAATGGCAATGGCGGAACGTTTGATCAGCTCAAACCGCATGGCCATGAGAATTCTGACTTTGCCAGAGGCCGCAAAAGATAAAACACCCAAAGTGATTTCGGCACATGAAATTGGGATTGGCGAAGGATTCAACATGGGAACCTTTGAACCTTTGAACCTGATGCCTTGATTGAATTCACATTTGTCTCTCCTTGCAACATTTTCGAACGTAACACTCCCTGACATGTCGCCCTTGGCTTTCCAAACAGTCACTTTGATGACCCAATAAGCGGCTTTTTTCAAACAGGCGCAAGGATGTTGACTTCAACGCCTTCGGCGTATGCATCCGCATAGCTCACCTTCTGCTTTTGAAGAAAATGGGGACGATTTCTGCTGCAGCTCAACCGCATCCTTTTCGGAAGCATGAATGCTGTAACCTCACTCAGCTGCACGGCGAGCAATGAGCCAAGCCAGGTCACCCGTCGTTAAGCCTTGGGCTTTTTTCATGAGACGAGATCTGCGGCGAACCTGGCAAGAAAGATATTGACAGGCGCGCATGCAGTCACATGGCCAACGTTTGTTGACATGCATCAACCCTGGCAAGCTCAGGGCTCATGTCCCCCACAAGAGTGAGAATTTGACTGCACCTGCCTCCTTGCGAATCTCTTTGGTCGATTCTTTCAGCTGCTGCTTCAGCACGGCCCTTGCTGCGCGTAAGGCTGGCAACTGGTCTTGTCCACGAGTGAGTGGTGCAGCTCCAGCTGGCACTGCGGCAGCTGGTGCAGTGGCAGCTGCATCATCCGACATGGTAAAAAGAGAAGTAGCTGAACCACGGTGGGTTCCAAACGCTTGAGGCTTTTGTAGCAAAAAGGCTGCAGAACCCATTGGTCATCCCAGCTGCCCTGATGCATTTCCTGTACCATCTGCGTTGCATGTGAAGATGTTTGGGTAGTTTTCTGGTAAAAGTATCAAGAAACAGTTTATAAATATGTATTATGTGAACCTGTAGTGTTTATACTATGACAAGCACGGCTTGGAACCATCACTGATACAGGGCCTACATTTCCAGCCCCCTAAAATGAAACCTTGGAAGCTTCAAGGCCATGGGCCCTCACAGTGTCACACTTGCTGCTCTCCGGTTGCATCTGCCTTTTTGCAACAGCAGATCTGGACTTCAACACCTTTGGTGTTATCAGAACAAACATGCATCCGCATAGCTCATCTTTCGCCTTTTAGGCCAAATGAGAGCCATCTCTGCCGGAGTGGGTTTGGCAGGAAGCGGTAAGGACACTGGATTCTGCATGAAATTTCGCAAGGCGGAATGCAACTTTGTCACATCTCGCCCGCACCCAACGCTTTCGAAAGCGTGGGCCCATTGTCTGCTGGCGAAAAATTCTCGAGGAGCTTGACCCAGTTGCCACAGAAACTCAAGCTGCTGCGGTTCACCGCCTTGGGCGGTGCGCCGCAGCTGCTGGTTTTTTCTTTTTATCCAATGCTTGAATGCACTGAAAGCACTGGTGTCTAGCGGCTGTAGCAGGCCAGTGCTGGAAGCTGGCACAAAAAGAAGCTGAAAACCTTTGCTTTTGGCAAAAGACATCAACCTTTTAGGTAGATGAGGAGATGCTGTGTCCAAAACGAGTATTGGTTTAACCATTGGAAGCCAAGGCTGGAGCGCCTCTCTCACATCTGCCAAAATTCGGATCATGCAATCTGTTGTCACCCAAGAAGATTTTCTGCGAAGAAGCCGCAACCTCGTCGGTGGCAGCGCTGCAAAACCTTTGGCGACAGTCTGGGGAAGCCTCTTCTCGCTGCAAACCAGGAAGTGCGGCAGCACCGCTTGAATGCCCGGATGACTGCAAAGCAAGGCCCCGTATGTGTAGGCGATCCTCCGCCGACTTTTGGGGACCGGCATTTGTGGACCCCCTGGCACGGGGTAAGACTTCCAGTCATTCACCACGCAACCTTTCGGACATGGTGGACAGCAAGGAACAGAAGTTTCATCGAAGTTGATCCAAACCAGTTCCTGGTGGCCAAATTTCTCGGTCACATAGGCAATGGATCTCCAGAACGCCTTCACCTGGCAAAACGAAGATTCGGGTCTCAAAAAAGTGGCAAACAAGACTTTAAAAAATGGCTCAAGTACAATGTTTTGGGGCCCTAGAAAAGCGACCCATTTGTGTCCCAAAAAGCGGCCCCAGAAACCAGGGATGCTTTCATTTTCAACCAAAAAAGGGTTCCAAAAAAGCGACCCGGCTTTTTTGCCCATTCTTGCCTTGTCCCGCAAAATGCTGGGATCCACTGTGTCAGCTGACCGCAGGCATGCCCTGCGAACACCCCACCGAGCCCGCCAACGAGCAGCCCATTTGTTAACAGTCCTGCGGCGAGGCTGTCCACAAGGTTCCACCTGAAGCGCCTTGTTCTCATAGTAATGAAACACATCTGCCGCTGATGGTGCCACGCCTTGAGAAAGGTTTTGACGCTTCACCCAACACCAAGCATCGTGTTCCAGGAGGAACTGCCGTGCAAACTTTCGGGCAGGTCCCCAAAGTGCTGAGCCTTCATCATGTAACATCAAAAAGTCCTCCCAATTGTGGTTACGAAAGAGAGCCCTGACAAAATCTGATGTTGGAAATGCTGCAGAACATTGGGGCAATCGGGACAGCCGCTGTGCCGCTCGCAGAGCCAAACTCAAATCCCAGTTTGACAAAGCATAGACGGCCAAAACTTTTCGCTCAGAGTGGCAAGAAAGGCCGCCTTTGAGCAGCGAGGCAGCTTCTCTGCGAGATTGCTGCTGGCAATTTCGTATGTGCCTTTGGTTCAGCAGAAGGGCTGCTCGGAGTTCTGTCACCTTCTTCTCTGCCAAGCAGGCCACGGCTTCGGCGGCTACTGACATGAGTAAAGGATCTACTGAAACTGTCTGGCTGAAGGTTTTGCTATACCTATATGATATGTATTGTAGCATGAGTTTACATGGCTTGTCTCCTGTTGCTATCTATTTTTGAACCTGCTTTGAGAACAATAGGTACGCCGTCTTCTACAACCCTGCTGCTTTGAACCATTCTGATTCATACAGCCAGAGCAGAGCTGCATTTTGAAACATGACAACAGTGGGCCCAGCACACCAAACGCTCAATAGCATGCCAACCCTGCCAACCATGGCTATGACATAAGAGGAATTGTTGGAAACAAAAACACTTGAGGAATGAACTCTAGTGACTGCAAATGAATCGGAAATCGGTGGCACCCCTGGCTGCAACTACAGTGATGTAGAGACAGAGACACACACACAGTGTCACACCTGCTGCTCTCCGGTTGCATCTGCCTTTTTGCAACAGCAGATCTGGACTTCAACACCTTTGGTGTTATCAGAACAAACATGCATCCGCATAGCTCATCTTTCGCCTTTTAGGCCAAATGAGAGCCATCTCTGCCGGAGTGGGTTTGGCAGGAAGCGGTAAGGACACTGGATTCTGCATGAAATTTCGCAAGGCGGAATGCAACTTTGTCACATCTCGCCCGCACCCAACGCTTTCGAAAGCGTGGGCCCATTGTCTGCTGGCGAAAAATTCTCGAGGAGCTTGACCCAGTTGCCACAGTGCGGTTCACCGCCTTGGGCGGTGCGCCGCAGCTGCTGGTTTTTTCTTTTTATCCAATGCTTGAATGCACTGAAAGCACTGGTGTCTAGCGGCTGTAGCAGGCCAGTGCTGGAAGCTGGCACAAAAAGAAGCTGAAAACCTTTCCTTTTGGCAAAAGACATCAACCTTTTAGGTAGATGAGGAGATGCTGTGTCCAAAACGAGTATTGGTTTAACCATTGGAAGCCAAGGCTGGAGCGCCTCTCTCACATCTGCCAAAATTCGGATCATGCAATCTGTTGTCACCCAAGAAGATTTTCTGCGAAGAAGCCGCAACCTCGTCGGTGGCAGCGCTGCAAAACCTTTGGCGACAGTCTGGGGAAGCCTCTTCTCGCTGCAAACCAGGAAGTGCGGCAGCACCGCTTGAATGCCCGGATGACTGCAAAGCAAGGCCCCGTATGTGTAGGCGATCCTCCGCCGACTTTTGGGGACCGGCATTTGTGGACCCCCTGGCACGGGGTAAGACTTCCAGTCATTCACCACGCAACCTTTCGGACATGGTGGACAGCAAGGAACAGAAGTTTCATCGAAGTTGATCCAAACCAGTTCCTGGTGGCCAAATTTCTCGGCCACATAGGCAATGGATCTCCAGAACGCCTTCACCTGGCAACAAAACGAAGATTCGGGTCTCAAAAAAGTGGCAAACAAGACTTTAAAACATGGCTCAAGTACAATGTTTTGGGGCCCTAGAAAAGCGACCCATTTGTGTCCCAAAAAGCGGCCCCAGAAACCAGGGATGCTTGCATTTTCAACCAAAAAAGGGTTGCAAAAAAGCGACCCGGCTTTTTTGCCCATTCTTGCCTTGTCCCGCAAAATGCTGGGATCCACTGTGTCAGCTGACCGCAGGCATGCCCTGCGAACACCCCACCGAGCCCGCCAACGAGCAGCCCATTTGTTAACAGTCCTGCGGCGAGGCTGTCCACAAGGTTCCACCTGAAGCGCCTTGTTCTCATAGTAATGAAACACATCTGCCGCTGATGGTGCCACGCCTTGAGAAAGGTTTTGACGCTTCACCCAACACCAAGCATCGTGTTCCAGAAGGAACTGCCGTGCAAACTTTCGGGCAGGTCCCCAAAGTGCGGAGCCTTCATCATGTAACATCAAGAAGTCCTCCCAACTGTGGTTACGAAAGAGAGCCCTGACAAAATCTGATGTTGGAAATGCTGCAGAACAGTGGGGCAATCGGGACAGCCGCTGTGCCGCTCGCAGAGCCAAACTCAAATCCCAGTTTGACAAAGCATAGACGGCCAAAACTTTTCGCTCAGAGTGGCAAGAAAGGCCGCCTTTGAGCAGCGAGGCAGCTTCTCTGCGAGATTGCTGCTGGCAATTTCGTATGTGCTTTTGGTTCAGCAGAAGGGCTGCTCGGAGTTCTGTCACCTTCTTCTCTGCCAAGCAGGCCACGGCTTCGGCGGCTACTGACATGAGTAAAGGATCTACTGAAACTGTCTGGCTGATGGAGCTTCTGCTATACCTATATGATATGTCTTGTAGCATGAGTTTACATGGCTTGTCTCCTGTTGCTATCTATTTTTGAACCTGCTTTGAGAACAATAGGTACGCCGTCTTCTACAACCCTGCTGCTTTGAACCATTCTGATTCATACAGCCAGAGCAGAGCTGCATTTTGAAACATGACAACAGTGGGCCCAGCACACCAAACGCTCAATAGCATGCCAACCCTGCCAACCATGGCTATGACATAAGAGGAATTGCTGGAAACAAAAACACTTGAAGCATGAACTGTAGTGACTGCAAATGAATCTGAAATCGGTGGCACCCCTGGCTGCAACTACAGTGATGTAGAGACAGAGACACACACACACAAGGAGGGGCCACAAGTACAACACTGGCTCATGCTGCCGAATCAGGCCCTTTTTCTGTCCCCCACGAGTGTCTGCGGTGGGCCACAAACCTGAGCTGCAGAAATGGAAGCAACAAGGCGGAGAGATATATGCAGAAAGCACCGGCAGAAACAAAGGCAATGAAATGCAATCAGAGGCAGAGGGAAAGAAGTCATACCATCATCCTCCCCCATGCCCCTCTAAATCAATGTTGTTTTTCGCAAACTGGAGACTTGCTGGCATCCAAATATAGTACAGCGTCACTGCCGCGGATCCAGGTCCAATGAAACAATCAACTTTGATTTCGGGGCGAGGGGTTTTTATATGGGGCTGGGTACTTTCTATGTTGTCGGGAGAAACATGCAAAACGGATGGACCAGGGACATCGGCTCCTTTAACATTTAATTAGGTGCAGTCAGCACACAGCTAGACACTCGGGAATCCTGCAGCAAGAAATTTTGCTACATTTTTCCCTCCAGAGAGTATGAACATGGTGAAGCAACATGGACATGCCGGGATGTCCTTCAAATTTTCGATTCTATGCTGGAAACGGTAAATGGTCAGTCTGGACCGGAGCATCAGCAACTCACTCTCGGACCAGCACCCTTTCGGCACAAACAACGATTGCCAGTTACATGTGAGAAAAGTGGGTTGTGTCGGTCGAAAATCCAAATGGCCACTGTACAAGTTCAATGGCCGATTGATGCGTAGCATCGCACTTTCCAACCATAATAAGGTACTGCTGACATCCAAGGCTCCATGGTCAGGTCTCCAATCATCTAAAATGACCACTTGGGACTGCGGCAAATCTAAGAGAGGATACGACCCTCGAGCGGGACAGGCGAACACCTCGGCTGCTCTGAGGAGGGCACATCAACGTCTGGCCGTCCAAAAAGGGGGAGGCCAAGAACAAGGAAATAATGTCTACCATGTTAAGAATGCATGGCGAGAGTTGGGTATTGTTGGTCCCCATGGTTACAGGTTGATAGATCTCGATGGTACCAAGGCGTGAAAATCCCGTTACAAGAATCAATTCCCAGTTACTGGACTCGTCTCGGGCATAAACAAATATGTGCATAGTACTTGAGCCCCCCCGGGGGGGGCAGAAACTTGTCCGCAAGTGGATCTTTTTAAAAAATATGATCATTGGGAAACGGGTGAGGGTCAGAAACCATGTGATGTGAAAGCGGTAGCCAAGGCACGCGCTCGAAAATTTCACGCAATGGCTTCAAAATGAAGCTTTTGCCCTCGTTTCCGGAACCTGTGAAGCATACTGCATCTCCCTTCTTCTGCATGCCCAGCATGAGGGCCTGACGCAAATGTTGGCAAAGCTTCCCCTCAGCAAGCAGCAACCACAAGCAAGCCAAGGGGCCGCTGCGTGTAGAGCTCGAGGTCGCTGTAGGCACCTGCACAGGGCGACAATGGCAGGAAAAGAAACGAGGGGAGAAACAGGGGACAGATACAAGAAGACAGGGGCAAAGACCACGAGGAGGACAAGACACAAACGAAAGAAACGCAGGCGCCCTAGCCACGGCCAGCCGCAAAACCCAATGCCAAATCTCATCTACTTGCAAACTTAGGAAGAAAATCTAGCCAACAAGTGCCAATATGATGTGAACCCTCCCTCAAGGTGATGGTGCTGAAGCCGATGGCCTCTGCCATAGCAACCCACATCCACCAAGCTGCCGCATCCACCACAGCCGCCGCATCCACGAGCAACCGCCACAGCCAGCAGCAGCCGCCACAGCCGCTGCATCCACGAGCAGCCGCCATAGCCAGCAGCAGGCGCCACAGCCGCCACAGCCGCCAGCAGCCGAGCTGCCGCCACATCCGGCAATATGCTGAAAATTGTGTGCTGAGATGATATAAGGATGAGGCTCCGGGAGGTGAGTGTCAATTTGCGTGGTGCAATCCTAATGTAAATTGGAGCAATCAGGGTAAGGGGTAGCGAAATAAGGGTAAGACTTCCAGAGTGCAATCCCAATGTAAGTGAAGCAAATAAGGTTAAGGATTCGAAAAATACAGGGAAGACTTCCGGAGTGCAATCCTAATGGAATTGGAGCAAATAAGGTTAAGAACTTGGAAATTCACAATCAAAAGAATTAGATGATTCTATTCATTTTCTTATTTTGTGGACTTTCTTAACCTTATTTTGCTCCGTGCCTATAGGATTTCCCCAACAAGCTCCTAACAGTATTTTGAGATGTCTTAACCTTATTTGGCTCCGTGCCTATGGGATTTGCTCAACAAGCTCCTAACAGTATTTTGAAATGTTTTAACTTTATTTTGCTCCGTGTTTATAGGATTTGGCTCCAAAATCTGTTCTCCACACCAAGGGTAAAATGGCAATGGCGGAACGTTTGATCAGCTCAAACCGCATGGCCATGAGAATTCTGACTTTGCCAGAGGCCGCAAAAGATAAAACACCCAAAGTGATTTCGGCACATGAAATTGGGATTGGCGAAGGATTCAACATGGGAACCTTTGAACCTTTGAACCTGATGCCTTGATTGAATTCACATTTGTCTCTCCTTGCAACATTTTCGAACGTAACACTCCCTGACATGTCGCCCTTGGCTTTCCAAACAGTCACTTTGATGACCCAGTAAGCGGCTTTTTTCAAACAGGAGCAAGGATCTTGACTTCGACGCCTTCGGCGTATGCATCCGCATAGCTCACCTTCTGCTTTTGAAGAAAATGAGGACGATTTCTGCTGCAGCACAACCGCATCCTTTTCGGAAGCATGAATGCTGTAACCTCACTCAGCTGCACGGCGAGCAATGAGCCAAGCCAGGTCACCCGTCGTTAAGCCTTGGGCTTTTTTCATGAGACGAGATCTGCGGCGAACCTGGCAAGAAAGATATTGACAGGCGCGCATGCAGTCACATGGCCAACGTTTGTTGACATGCATCAACCCTGGCAAGCTCAGGGCTCATGTCTCACACAAGAATGAGAATTTGAGTGGCACCTGCCTCCTTGCGAATCTCTTTGGTCGATTCTTTCAGCTGCTGCTTCAGCACCCCCCTTGCTGTGCGTAGGGCTGGCAACTGGTCTTGTCCACGAGTGAGTGGTGCAGCTCCAGCTGGCACTGCGGCAGCTGGCGGAGTGGCAGCTGCATCATCCGACATGGTAAAAAGAGAAGTAGCTGAACCACGGTGGGTTCCAAACGCTTGAGGCTGTTGTGGCAAAAAGGCTGCAGAACCCATTGGTCATCCTAGCTGCCCTGATGCATTTCCTGTACCATCTGCGTTGCATGTGAAGATGTTTGGGTAGTTTTCTGGTAAAAGTATCAAGAAACAGTTTATAAATATATATTATGTGAACCTGTAATGTTTATATTATGACAAGCTCGGCTTGGAACCATCACTGATACAGGGCCTACATTTCCAGCCCCCTAAAATGAAACCTTGGAAGCTTCAAGGCCATGGGCCCTCACAGTATATGGATATATATATGGTAACATTTACCATCAATATATCCCAAATGTTAGCATATATACCATAGATGGATCCTATGGGTTATATAAATTTTGATGCTTTTAATCACAAACACATTCGAAAGACATAATTTCTCAAGAAACATATATCTGGGTAAATTACAACGAGCTCACTGTTCACCCTCACTGGAATAATGGTTTATTTTAGGGAAATCATCCCCATTCATGGCATCAAATGGCCGCAAGATTCAGGTTAGTGAAATATGATAATTTACCCAGACATATATATATATATATACTGTAGTGGAATAGCATCCTTTTTTGGGGTTTCCAGTTTCCAACCCGTAGGGGTACCTCCATGGCAGGCCGGTTATCTCAGAACCTCGGCAGATGGCGGAAGGTTGGTTTTCAGAACGGGATTCCCGGCTGGATTATGAAGAATCCTCAATATATGAAGGGTAGGTGTTAATTCCCCGAACTAATCATCAACCTATGACAAATCAAAGAATTGGCAGATGTGAAACTTCAATATCTAAGAACTGCCCTTCCTATCCTTCCTAATATCCTAATATGAAAGATCCAATGAAGTTCCACCATTGAAGTAGGATATCCTAATATTGATTCTCAGAACTTCCTAATATCCTATATGATGAAAGGAGTAGCAATTAGCAGTGGTCAATCCACATGGAGAGACATCGTCATCCATCCATATCCTTTCCCGTAATGGGAAAGTGGTCCAATTCATAGCTGATTAGCTGATGATACCCCCAGCTGATCCCCATAGTCATTAAATTTTATCCATTTATAAGCATTTATAACCATGAAAAAAACCATGTATAGCCATTATAGAAATTAACCATATTTATATCTGGTTGGTGGTGACTGGAACCATGGAATTTTGAATGACTTTCCATATATTTTGGGAATAAGGTGAACAACTGACGAACTCATATTTTTCAGAGGGGTTCAAACCACCAACCAGATGGTGATGTTGGATAGCTATGCTAGATGACGAAAGGGTAATATAATTCATAGTATAAACCGTATTAATGGAATGCAATTCCATCAGCCAGCAGTGTTGGTGCCCACCAGGGTATCAGGTTTTGACCCATACCCGTATCAATGAGTCAACCTATCTAAATTGTTACTTGTTTGAAAATGATGATACACGATTTATTTTTTCTATCTTATTATTCATGATGGCTAGATGTATACAGTATATAAATTTAAATGATTTAACATATCTATGCTGGCTGACTACTTACGAAGGTTCCATGCTTACATATGCTTACTATGTGCGAACCAAGTGTAAGGCTTTTCCCACAAATATGTCCGCTATGTTTCAAGCTGATCCCGTAAAAATCGTCGCAAGTTTTTCGTCGCCGACCTTCTGCCATCTCCCAAGCATCGATCTGAGAACTTCCAAGAACTCATTTTTTTCGATGCGATAGATGGTGGGTAAAAATAGTAACATATATACTCACTAGATCAATCACATACCATGGAACAGTGGGGTGATTAGATCATATTAGATCAGACCTAGGTTTCATAAATTTATCCGGTGATATGGGTATGGGTCAATACCTATAGATACATTTTAGTGGGATGAACATCCATTTACCAGCAATTTTGGGGTTCACTAGGTACCAGGGTTTTGACCCATCCCCATATACAGTATATGGGGGGTAAAATCACTTCGACCAATTCGACCAATTTGGCGTTCTATCCCTGGCCGTTTCTGGATCATCGTCTCAGGCCGGTGACACCGCGCAGAGACCGAACTTCAGAGGTTCCGAACGGTGGGTGGAACTGCAGGGTGGTGCCCCAGTTCGTTAGCTAAGTTGGTGAACATAAGTCCAATAACTATGGTTTATAGGTGATATATCTATAGTAAATGGGGTTTATAAACCAATTTATAACGTTTGGGGGGCACCACCTTGTATTAAATGATATGCAATCGGGGGCCAAGGAGATTACTTGAATTTCCCAACCACATGATAGTTTTAAAAGCTGGAAGCAGGATAGTTTTGCCGTTTTGAAAAAATCCAGGATTCAAAATCAACATGAAGGTGATATAGCCAACTACAATTAACTTAATCTAGGATAATTATTCATAGGGGCTATTCATAGGTTTTCCATGGTTTTCCATAGGTTTTCCTTTCACACTTGATGAATTTTCAGGCTCATCCGTGACCAGCCAATGGCTCCAATTACTAGTTGCTATAATTTACTGTACTACTAGTTCCTGTACTTGCTAGTTACTGTATTTGTAGTTGCCATAATTGCTACATGCTAATCACTAATTACTATACTTGCTAGGTGTTGGAAATGGTCTTTACTGCGGGTGCCTCTGTGGGAAATACTGGCGACTTTAATTTCCAGCTTCAATGATTGCCAGTTGCTACAACTGCCAAGTGCTAGCTACTAGATGTTACAAGTGCTAGTTGCAAAACTTGCCAGTTACTACACTTGCTAAGTTCACTCGCTGGTTACTACAGCTGCAAAGTGCTAATTGGGGTCACTTACTATGCTTGCTAGTTACTTTATGTTTCTTCAACTTGTAGTTACTACAAATGCTAAGTGCTGAATACTGGTTACTATAGTTGCTAGTTTCTAAAGCTGTCTATTGCTAAGTACCATCTCCTTTTGCTACTAATATCGCTCATTACTAGTTGCTCTAGTTGAAACTCGGGCCCCCTAGGTATAGGTTGGTTTATAAAGATCATGAACTATAGTTATAAGTTATAAGATGCTATAAGTTATAAGCATCATACACCTTCATAAACCATCGTGAAATTGGAGATTTTACTATAGCTATTGGAGATATACACCAACCTACAGGGTGGTGCCCATAGTTAGCTAAGTTGGTGAACATAAGTCCAATAACTATGGTTTTTGTTGGTGATATATCTATAGTAAATGGGGTTTATAAACCAATTTATAACGTTTGGGGGTCACCACCTTGTAATGTTTGTTGACCCCACCCTGCGCGCGCCATTCCCAGCAGGTGAGTTTCGTCTCCAATCGGCCATCGCCTTTGAGTCGATGTTCCTCTGCACCCACGGTGCGATGAGGGAACCCCTGAAGGGGTGAATTGGGGTACTTGGATTAATGGATTAACTTATGGTACTTGGGTTAATTGCCACTTATAAGGGGATTTTCATGGGATATAGTTGGGATATATCTGGATTAATTATACTTGGTGGCTCATCCTACTTTGTAAGTGGCTTATAACCCCAGTTATAAGTGGATTAACTCTACTTGTCCCATTTATAACTGGGGTTATAACCCACTTACTAAGTGGAATGAGCCACCAAGTATCAAACGCAATCGGTGATTTCATGGGATATGAATGGTATATAAGTGATTTACTGGAAATGTTATAGCCAATGGGAATTTAATGGTGATTTTTGCTGGGATTCTACAATTAAGGCCGGAAATACCAGTTATAAATATAATTATAAATGCTTATAAATAGGGTTATAATTCCATAAATGAGCAAATGACTTATAGCTGATAAAGGGCCATTACTGTATATATATATACATATGTATATGGGGTATCAAATCCAACCATACTGCTGATTTAATGGGATCTATTGTGATATTAACGGTATATAAATGATATACGGGAGATTTTACTTTCATTTTAATCAGATTTAACATGTCTATAATGTGATTTTTTAAAACTGGATATTCATGGGTATATGATATATTGGAATACAAAACCATACAAAACCATGATTTGCCATGATACAGTGGAAAATAACCATAATCAAAAGTTGGATTATATATACCCATTTTGGTGGATGGCCATCACTCCATTCAGCAAGGCGGATTTATTTTGGGTTAGCTGGGCTTATGAGTCAGTGGTTTATGTTTATATAGTGCTTGGATATGTTTATTGGCATCTACTTGGTATGTAAGTAAGTATCTACAATGTGGTTTGGCCTTGTAAGGTTAGGAAAAAACGTGGTCATACCCTGTCATTCAAGGTGGTGCCGCATAGTTAGCTAAGTTGGTTTATACCTGGATTAACTTTTTTTTGGTGGTTATGATCATAGTTGCGTGGGTTTATAAACCAACAAACATGTCGGGCCTGGCGCCTTGTCGTAGAGGCTTAGGCAGAGGCAGCTGTCAGTGGCAACAGCATTGGACGTAGATCGTTTCAAAGAGAAACAACCATGAATTTTCCGAGTTGTTTGTATGTTTAATTTATATTGGATGGTTAAAAAAGACAACAGACAACACACACAACTTGGTTGATAAGCCCCATCAACCATAGCCTATAGCTATATCTACCTTCAACCATAGAAACATATTTACCCTCTGGTAAACATACAAGAAGCGAACCGGAAAGATCCACCATGCTATTAATGGGTGAATCAACTATTTCTATGGGCCATTTTCGATAGGGAACTGTTAGTTTACCAGAGGGTATATTGGATGGTTAAAAGGGGTTATACCTCAAATAACAAGTTTCAATTAAACCCCTAGAATCATGGTTTCAAATTTCAATTATGTTGGTTGTAGGTTGCTATTCCAAACTGTCCAACCAATCCATGGCAGGTTGGAGACGAGTCGCTCTTGCGTTTCTTGCGACGGCAGAACTTCTGCGAGGAGGTTGGCGCGGGGCGCTCTGGGCGACTGGGCGGTAGGCTGCAAGGTGGCTAAGGATAACGGAAAAGATGGG